GAACCTAACTAACTGCTGACTATCTCCAATACAGTCACAGTATGAGGTACTGGGGGTTAGGAGTTCAACATATAAATTTTGGGGAGACATAATTCAGAACATAGCAGATTCTATATATTTCTGTGGTAACAGATTAACCCCCAAAGCTCAGTGGTTTAACTCAACAAAATTTATTCCTCACCCATGCAAAATCCAGTGAGCCAGGCAACTTTCCAGGCTAGCTACCTGATGCTAGCCTTAAGGCAATTCAGGCTGATTCAGGCTATTTCCATTGTATGGTTTTGCCAATGCAACATGTATTCTCTAAGATTGCTGCAGCAGGGGAGAGAGGGCAGGAGGGTTGCTCATTGGCTTTTCAATGACTTTTTCTAGAAGTGTATATACGTTCTGCTTACAGCCCATTGGTTAGAACTAGTCATATGGCCTTACCCAATTGCCAGAGTTATGGGGGGGGGGTGGATATTTAATGAGCTGTAAATGTCCCTGCCACAGATGGTATTAAATGCAAAAAATCAAGCACAATAGGGTGACATAGTGTTGTTTTAGAAAGGGTGGTGAAAGACCTCCACTATGAGAAAGTTATATTTAAGTAAAGTTACAAAGGGAGTGAGGAAATGGGGGAAAGTGTTCTAAGCCTGAATAAACCAAGAAATAGCAAGGAAGCATGGCAGCTAGAAAAAGCAAGTAAGGGGGACACAGGAAATGAGGCTACATCATGGAGGACTTGATAGGCATGAACTTTGGATTTTATTCTGAATTGGGGTAATATTGGAGGTTTACATAATCGGACTTAAGTTTTAAAAAATCACTCTGGTGATTGTGTAGAGAAAAGATTGTAGGAGGCAAGAATGGAAGTCAGGAGACAGATACAGTAATTATTCATGTGGGAAGTCACGGGCTAGGCATGTAGCACTCCTGGATGGTGTTTACCATTCTCTCCTCAAACCACCAGCACCCCTTTCCCTGTCTTCACTCTCAACTTCTTATTTTATTAAACTAGGAACAATTGGAAAAGAAATTTTTTTTTTTTAAAAAAAGATTATTGAGAGAGAGCGTTTGTGAGTGGGAGGAAGGACAGAGGGAGAGGGAGAGAGAATCTCAAGTAGACTCCACACTGAGCGCAAAGTCCCATGGGGGCCCCCGATCCCAGGACCTGGAGATCATGACCCGAGCTGAAATCAAGTCAGATGCTCAAGCGTACCAAGCTATCTGTATCTGTGTCTTCCCACTCCCCTTGCTCATCTAACTACGGATGACCCTTCCAGCCAACTCAAGGATTTCCTTCCTACAGTTGTCACACTCTTGCATTGATATTTTCTCATCACTGGACTATTTCTATTAGTGTATAAATATTTAAACAGAAAACCTAACCCCCACATCTCTTGCCTGCTGTTGTTCCATTCCCCTGCTCATCTTTGCAGCAAAAGGAAATCTGCTTGTTGTCACCATTTACTATCTCTGCAATAAGGCTTGTATCCCTACCACTTTATCTTAATTGCTCTGTTCTCAGGTTCTTAAAGATCTCTCCACTGCTAAATCCAAAGGTCAGTTCTCATTTTACTCAACTTCTCAACAGCAAATGAAGTGACACACTGAGGCACTTCCTTCTCCCTAAAACATTTCTTCACTTAGGCTTTAGAACTCCTCTATTGTGTTTCCTTTGGCTGCTCCTGCTGTGTTTCCTTTGCTAGTCTTTCCATCTCTGAAGTGCTGCATGAGCAGCCTTTGGATCTTTAATTTCCCCTGCAATTATGCAATTAATGTCCTTGGTCAGCAACTTTCAGTGCCATACTGTTACTTGGTTAAAAAATCAGTTGAGTTGGGAGAAGTTTTAAAAAATGGAACAGAATAAAGTGGAAATGAAAGGAAACAGTGAATTATAGGGAGGGTAGATTTGCTTTTTGAAAATTTTAAGGTATCTACATGTATTTCGTCAGTATGGAAAACATATTTTGTATCCTGGATTGAGATCAGAGGTATGAAAGTTACTGCTCTGTGTGATCTCATTCAATCTTGTGGCTTTAAATACCATCGACCAATCAATTTATATCTCTATAGCTCCCCTCAGAATTTCATTGTCTTCTGTGCAGTTGCTAACTGTACACCTCTATTTGTATGGCTAATAAGCAGGTCAAATTTAGCATGTCCAAAATCAAATTCTTGATTTTTTTTCTCCCAGCCTGCACATAGCCTTTTTTGACTTTAAAAAATAAAAGTCAGTTATTGTACCAGCAAAAATGAATTTATTTGGGAATAGCAGAGAATTGCAATTCAGGAGAAGCAAGGTATAGCAAAAACCTTAGGGTAGTCTAACAAAAGAGAGGAACATTATTTTATGGAGATGAAGGAGGAAGTTGGGAGGGGTTTTTTTGAACAAAAGTCCATTGGAGAAAAGCAAGAATTCAGGATGATGAGGGTTTCTGATTGGCTGAACTGCTGGCATAGTCAATTTCTTATAGCAGATGTACTGTACATCTTTTCCTATTGGGACTTGTAATTGATGACTCTTTCCAGTTATCCTTTCTTCTCTTGAAGGGTAATTGATAATTCTTCCAGTAATTGACAGGGAATGGTATGGCACAAGAGCTCCCTCTTCTGGCCTCCCAACTCCATCTTAGTGAGGTTTCCCTTTATTAATTTTCACACCCTTCTCCATCTAAGTAAATGACAGTTCCATTCTTTTGGTTGTACAGGCCAAAAACGTTGGAGTCATCCTTCACTCTGTTCTTTTACAAATACCTCTAATCAATCTGAATATCCTATTGGCTCTACTTTTGAAATATGACAAATACTATGTGAAGCAAGACTGTCATTAAGCATAGCATAGGAAGGCCAAAATCAAGATAGAATTTACAGATATAGTGAAATCACATTTTTATGGTTATTAATAAAAAGGAAAAGACATCTAGACTTGGAATCAGGAGACATAAATATGAGGCTGGCTCTACCACATCATAGCTTTGTAACACCTTAGCAGGTTGTTATTCACCGCTTTCTCTGCAAGTCTCCTGTTATTCCTTACATTCATCACTCTAGTGAGAACCCTAGTATATCCACTGTGTTGGATGATATGCTGTTATAGAGTCATATATAATTATAGTATATCTTATCCTACCTACCAATGCATTTTGTTTGCAACAAAACTCTAACTGAAAAACTAGGTAGGCTCAGCCATTTGGTGGTGACGTCTTTCTTTCCCACAAACTCTAGGAGAGGACAGGCAATTTTCTTCCGGGGGCTGAGGCAGTGGACAGGTAGTATACTAAGAGTTGCCACCACCACAAACAGGATGTAGAATTAGCCTGCTGCCAAAAGGCCAGTGCTCCCCTTGGAGTGAAGACCTGGTCACCCATGAGCAGTTCCCTTATTGGTAGCCTTCCATTCTAAATGTAAAGATTTCTTTGTGGTTGTGCTTAGTTTCCCTGCTGGCAATGCTCAACTCCAGTCCAGGTGGCAAGAGTCCAGACCCTGGACCTGAACCCCTTCAGTCCATCAGTTGCCTTTCCCTCAGGACTCTGACCTCCTGTATCACTACCCTCTTGTCAAAGGTCATATATGGTTAACATTTATTGAGCACTGTATGTATTGGGCACTTTAAAGTGCTGTGCCAGCATTATTTCATTTCATCTTTATAACTGTTCAGTAGCTACTTTCTTTTAGGTAGATGAAGAGGTTCCGAAATGTTAAGTAAATTGCTTAGATAGAAATAACAGAATCAAGACTCACCTTGCATTGTCTCCATGAGTACTGCCTAACTTACAGATCCCTCTCGATATGTGAATAGTCTTTGCCACTTCCTACAGATTCACAAGCCATAGATTAGCCAATATTTTTGCTTCTCAGGCATGGTCTAGGCATAAGGTATACCAGTGAAAGTTACTATTTCTGCCTTTAGGGAACATCTGCTGCCAGAAGCAGCAGAAAAAGTCAAGCAGGTTGTGGCAACTGACCTTGTAACCTATTTTCCATAGTAAAAGATGAGTGTGGAGAAAACTCATCACTATATTTTCTTCTCTTTGTAATGTTGCATTTTAGGTGTGTTAATGAAGAGGATGCTTGACCTTGCACAGACCTGAAAGATATTTTGAGCCCACTGTTTTGACCCTGTCAGTTTCCTCTTAGCCATGTATGCAACATGATCAGGACTGTATGGAGGAATTAATTATACAATAGATCACTCCTGGACAACAGAACAATTCTGGAATATTTGAAGGTATTGGCTCACAATTCTCTCATGAATTTACTAAGAAATAGTACAAATTAGTCTTTTATGCAATTTATAATGACTATTATAGGAGAAATTGGCAGTGGCTGAAACTTCTGTAAAGTTTGATGGAGAAAAACAACTTAGAAATAGTTACTAAAAACAAGTAGCTATAATCAGTAAAGTTTGATGTGGACAAAACCTGAATGCTGAATCAAATATGTATTTAGGGCTGTTTGTATTTACACATACAAAGACTAATTCTCATGAAAATCATAATTTATAATTTAAAATAAAAGTTGGAAGTCCCATAAGCCTTCCTCACACCCATTCCAGGGTGGGAGTCGGGGTGGAGTAGGCTGTGGAATAGCCATTCACTCCAGATTAGGGAGCGAAAGTAAACAGAACTGTTCTTTAAGGTAAACAAACGCTCCGCCTTCGTTTGCTAGCCTTAAGTAAGGAAGTATTTCCATTTTTTTCTCCCAAGTTCAACATCAGAATACCTGACCTAATTCCCTTCTCCTTTCAAAGCACTAATAATATAAGCGGTCAGGCCCGGGGCTCACAAAGGGATGAAGCAGGAACGGTGGAGGTCTTTCCCCTTCCGCGGCCGGACTGCTTAGGGCCAGTCCGCTCTCGCCTCTGCACCGACCGCCAAGACCAGGGAGGCGGAAGGACCACCGCGCCGCGGCCGCTCTCCCGCCTCTTAGCTCGCCGCTGTTGCCGGGCAACACCTCCCAACCTCCGCCCCCGGGCGAGCACGTGACGCGCATGTCACGTGACGGGACGGCGTCCTCCCGCGGAGGGGTGTAAACAGGCCCGGTGGCGGCCGAGCTGCGGGCCTGCTGCATCCTGGTGTCCGGCATGCTTCGGGCGCGCCGGGGCGGCCCCGCCGCGAGCTCCGCGCCCACCTGAGGTAACTCTTGCGGCCTCGGGACGGGCGTACCTCACGCCGCTTGCAGTCGCTGCTGCTCGCCGCCTACAAGGCCGGCTGAGCCCCCGGCCCCGGCAGGGGGTGTGGCTGCCGGCTGTGCAGTGCGCGACAGGTGGGGTGGGAGTGGGCGGCTGCCGAGGCCAGGGCTCTGCAGCGCCCTGCTTCGCGGCCCTGGCGTGGAGCCGGCCGAAAGGCGGCAGCGACCCCGGGTTGTGGGCCCTTCCGTTCCGGCTGCTCGAGGCTTGCCCCCGGGGCCGGGCCGAGCCGGGGGCCGCAGGATCCGTCGGGCGCTGAGGGCCTGGGGCTGCCTGCGTGGAGTCCCGGTTGCGGGCTGTGAGACCTTGGGCAAGTCAGCCTCAGCCCTGGCCCTGGCCTGAGTTTCCACATCTGTAACGAATGTCTGGACTAGGTGATCTTTGAGGACCTTCCACTTTTGACGTGTGTGATCTCGAGAGAGAGCTGCATACTTTGGAAGCTGCCAGAGGAAAAGCTTAGGTAGATACGTCTTTTAATTGCTAAGTTCCTGTTTTTAAATTTTTCATCTGATACGATTTGGATTCTTGTTCAACTGGGTGAAGTTTTTAATAGAAAACTTTTATACAAAGTAATGGTTTATGTTGCCGTTTTTTTCAGGCTTTTCTGATGGAACGAAACCTTTCTTAGAACTTCCTTTAGAAGTCCAATTAATTAAAACAGAAAGAAAGAAAGAAAAAGAAAGAAAGAAAGAAAGAAAATCGAAACCTCTGTCTGCCTCGCTGTCTTCCTGCTTTACTGCAATACCCCTAAGGGCCCCCAGGGATCACAGGTTGAGAAGCACTGTTAACACTGTTGAGGAAGTGTTCTGTGTTTGTTAATTTGACAGGCTCTGGAAGATGAATCTTTTGCTTACGTGGAGTTTTCTATTATTTTTCCTTCAACTTTGTTCGACTGTATGTCATACAATTAGAGAGACAATTAGTATATTTTGCAGATAGACTTGGAAAAGACCCCCAAATTTCCGATGGACCTTTCTGTTCTATCTTTTCTTGTATTCCGGGCCCAAGGGATGTGTGTGTATATTTATAATAGTGAGACTTAATGCTCGTTGCTGGCCTAGTTGCTCAGGTATAGAATGGGAGTGGAAGACTTTTTGCAAGACTTTTATTTAGACCCAACTGAATGGATTAGGACATTTCCTCCGAAAAATATGTAAGTTGGGAAAGTACATGACTTAAAATCGTTAGAGCCATGGAATAACATGAACATATCACAAATTTTGAGACTCTGGATCTTGAGAGAACTGGGTTTAGGAGAAAAGGAGGTTCTGTTTCATGTAGTGAGTGAATGTATAAACAATATGAAGTGGTCTGTAGACCAAGAATTATCAGGATGATTTTTTTTTTAAGAGAAATGCTTAGTTTCCTGTTTTGTTTTCGAAGACTAGGGTTGATAAGAGATTTACTGAAACTTGGAAGTTTGATATTGAAAGAGGAAAACCATAGCCTTTTACAGCTTGTCCACTTGGTGCTTCTGTGAGGTGAACCAGAATCGGAGGTTGAAAGAATAATGAACGGAACCCAAGGAGACCTAGTGGAATATGTTTTCTCTTTTTAAAGTAACTCACTTCCTTAATCTTTGGTGTAGGTTTAGGTTAAGTCACCTCTTTTCTTTAGGTCTCAGTTTCTGCTACAAAGTGAGGAAATTGGATTGATTACTGCTGCATTTGTTGGCTTCAGTTAGGGTTGCCAGATAAAATACAGATAACTTAGTTTAAATTTGAATTTCAGATTAACGGTGAAAAAGTTTTTAGTATAAATATTGCATTTTTAGTATAAATAATGCATTATTAAAAAAATCCATTGTTTATCTGAAATTCAAGTTGAACTGGGCTTACTGTATTTTTATTTGCTAAATCTGGGGACCCTACTTCAACATTTTTGTCTCCTTTAAATTAGTTCCAGGAAGAAATTATAGATGCACAGACAGGAATGAATTGATTCAACCAGTCAAGACTACCTATTTGTTATCAGCAGTAGTGTGTAGTTCTTGAGAAACAACTCTGTTTCACTTGTGGTCCTTGTCATGAAGCAGTTCCTTTTCTGCCATAAGCACATAATGTTTAGGTTTATACTCTTGGTGGTAAACAATTTTTTTTTAATTTTTAAATTTAAAAAAGATTTTTATTTTAGAGAGAGAGAGCTTGAGCAAGCACAGAAGGAGGGAGGAGCAGAGGGAGAGAGAGAGAGAGAATCTTAAGCAGACTCCACGTGGAGCCTGACTGGAGCTCCATCTCATGACCCTGAGATCACAACCTGACCCGAAACCAGGAGTTGGATGCTCGACCATCTGTGCCACCAAGGTGCCCCGGTAAACAATTTAAATATCTGAAGGCAAACAAAACAAAACAAAACAAAAAAAACCCTAAAATTTCTAAAAGTAACAAATTTGGGTCATGAAATGGTATGTACTATATTTTTTCTGTAAAAGATGTAACACTACCTGTCCTTCAGTTATATGATTGACTTTAAGATACGTTCTAAGGCAGTGCACTGTTCTGATGGTAAATAATCTTTCAGGAAGTTATTATGCCTTCGATTTGGCCCCTGGTGAATATGGAAAATAATCAGTGTATGCACTATAAACATTTTATATTTTAACTGACCACTGTTAATCTTGTATTTGCTATATCTTGAAGAATTTCAGTGTTGAAATTCTTTTTCAAGGAGTATAATTATTTAATTCCTCAATTTTTGAGAGTTTTAAAGAAAACTAGGCCAAATCTTTACTCACCTCTCTCTGAAATTACTGAATTTTCAAATTCATTCATTCATTCATTTATTCATTCATTCAGTAGTCAACAAAAAATTGAGTGCCTTCTATAGCCAGGCTGATTAATCAGTGCTCTAGATCTTTAGGTCCTTATCTTTGACAGAGGAGTTAAATCACGTGCATTCTAGGGATAATGTGATGAGGGCCTTGAAGTAATACAAATACCGTGGAAACTGAGAGGAGGATGAGAACCCATCAGTTGATAGATTGAATGGCAGAACCTCCTAGAGGAGGTGGTATTTAATCTAGATCGTCGTGATAAAGGTTGGGTCAGGAAGACAGACTTACAGAAAGGTAGGAAGAAGCAGAAAAAGGCAGCGAATCCATCTTCTCATTTCTACAAAGGATACCCTTTGTTGGGTTAAAAATGATTGGTAATATTGTTTATATGTAGTTTTTGGTTCCCTGTGATGCTCTTCATCTGCATTAAGTATATTGGAATGAAATTTCTTCAGTGTGTATCTATATTAGATCTTCAAATGTCAGTGTAGCTCTCTGAAAAAAATGTTTGTGAAATGTGTCACATGTACAAAAATGTGTAATATGCATATATAAAGCTCAAAAAATAGCATATTATCACACCGTTGAAACCTGTGTGCCCCTTCCTGATTAGCCACCCCCTTTCCTTCTCTTCAGAAGTGACCACCATACTGAATTCTATCATTTCTTTGCTTTTCTTCATAAACTTATTTTATATGTATACAACCCCCCCAAACATTGTTTACTTTTTCATGTTTTTGAACTTTATATAAATGGCATCATACGATGTGGATTTTTTTCTGAGACTTTTCCACTTAGGTTACTATGTTTAATTCATGTTTTTCCCCCCACCAAGGTTCCACCCATGTTAGTTTTTACCAAGTGTAAGGATTTCGCTGAGGTAAACACCTAGGATTGGAGTTGCTGCTTGTAGGGTATGGGTATCTGTGGTTTCCTAAATATTGCCAAATTACTTTTCATTGTAGTTGTGCTGTTTTAGTTTCCTCCCCACAGTGTATGAGAGTTCCTATTCCTATCCTGTCTACATGCTCTCTATTGTTATGAGCAAATCATATATCTAATAAGAAAAGTCTAGTATCCAGAGTATGTAAAGAAGACTTACACCTCAACAATAAAAAGAAAAAGAATTCATTTTAAAAACAAAGGATTTGAATAGACGTTTCTTTAGGCAGGACATACAAATGGCCAATAAGCACCTGAAAAGAAGCTTGATCTCATTAGCCACCAGGGAAGTGCAAATCAATACCACAATGAAATACCGTGCCATACTCACAGGGATGGCTATAATCAAAAAGACATAATAACAAGTGTTGCAGAGATAGTGGAGAAATTAGAATCTTCATACACTGTTATGGGGAATGCAAAGTGATGCACCTACTTTGGGAAACAGTCTGGTACTTCCTCAAACAGCTGAACATAGAGATAGCAAATGGCACAGCAACTCCACTCCTAAGTTTATACCTAAAGAAAAATTAAAATATATATTTACACCAAAACTTGTATGCAGATGTTCACAGTATCAGTATTCATAATAGCAAAAAAAGTAGAAACAAATTTATGCCAGTTGATAAATGGATAAATAAAATGTGGTTTATATACAGGGGAATATTAGCCATAAAAGGAATGAAGTACAGATTCATGCTACAACATAAATGAACCTTGAAAACATGATGCTAAATGATAAAAGCGAGTCACAAAAGGCCGCATATTGTATAGTTACATTTATACAAGACTTCCAGAATACACAGATCTATAGAGTGAGAAAATAGATCGGTGATTGGGAGTTGGGATGGTGGTAGATGGGAGATTTGATCATGAGTAATAGGTTTCTTTTTAGGATGATGAAATGTCCTAAAACTGATTGTGGTGGTGGTTGCACAATTCTGTGAATATGTGAAAAGCCATTGAATTGTACACCTGAGAGAAGGGAGGATATTAAAACAAAACAAAACACACAAAAGGTTGCTACATTGTGAGCAGCCCTATGGAGAGGCCCATATGATGAGGGATCAAGACTTGCCCACAGCCACATGATTGAGCTTAGAAGCAAATTCCTCCTTACCCCCTTTCACACAGAGCCAAGCCTTTAGATGATCCTATAGGCTGGCCAGCAGTTTTGACTGCAGCCTTATGATAGACCATGAGCCAAAGGTACCCAGTTTAGCTACCTAGAT